GATGTTCCTCGCTTAATCGGAGCTAGGCCCGATTAGGTGGAGGTCGCGGGTTCGATCCATGACACTACCCCCCCCCTTTTTTAGGGCAAGTCCCAACGCCCAAAGCAAAGCAACTTTTTTAGCATGTCGCGAAAGCGATATCATGCCCAATTAAATCCAAATACAAAGGAGATGCCCGTTTCGCAAAGCTACACGGGCCAAAGCATCTTCCACATCCTTCACCGTGACCAACGTCCTGCAGTATGTCCTCCACTTGTATCCTGTCGGCTGGGGCCCGTTGGCATCGTTCGGGGGCGCGGCGAGCGGCTTTCAGAGGAGGGACGTCAATAGGATGTCGCGGTAAGGGTATGTGGGATAGTCTGTGATGTTGTCAACACACGTCGGGCAGGCCTCCGCTTGTCACCTGTGCATCCATCGGGCCGTCGCGGACTTGGTCGCCTCTGTCTCAACACCAGTCTGCAGGATCACGATCCCCAAGTCGATGTTGCCTGACGGAGCGCTTCCAAGTCCCGTCGTCGGAGGGTAGCACAAGAGAGAGGAGTCCACAGAGTCTCCGATGTGATGGTTCGCACAGTGCAAGTATCAGTCCAGGTCGAGCGTTGCATACTAAGACAATACGTAGAGGTGGCCTTCCTGATGCGCGATGACGTGTCGCAGCAGGGTGTTACGTGACCACTTGCGATGTGACGGTTCGCGCGGCTGCGGTTAGTCCTGATCGTTGTCCTGATGAAGCATCATCATCAAGAGATCCTGCTTGCCGGTCAGCGTGCTGAACTTCACATGCGGGCCTGGTTTCCCAGGTCGCTGGCGGTGGTACTCAGCGACGAGGTCAGCTGAGTCCACCAGATTCATGTATGGTTCCCATGAAGGATTGTCGGGGCCTTCGGGATAGTCGGCCCATCGGACTTGGTATTGCAACAAGCCCTTTCGATTGTCCAGCTCCGGATCAGGAAGTCGCTTGTTGAGGCGGCTATCGAGCACGGCTTCGACGGAGTAGTCCGTGTCGTCGTCGATGTCAGGGTCGGCGAGCTCGACATGTCCTTCGTCGTCCTGGGGCTGTCCCGGCAGGGGCTCCTCGTTGGCTCGATGGAGTAACCAAGGATGGAAGACGTTGTGAGCGCGCATCCCGGGGGCGAGAGCTACCTCATACGCCATGTTGTCGATGACTCGCGTGACTAGGAAAGGGCCGCGGTTCTTGAAGTCGAGCGACTGGTTCGGACGTGTGGTGCGCAAGTTCCTAAAGTCGACCATAACACGGTCGCCTACCTTGAACTCAGGCGCCGGCAAGCGATGGTTGTTGGCGTATTCCGCTTGTTTTGACTGTGCCCAAGCGATTTGTTCCTTGAGGTAGGCGCGAAGCTTGTTAAGGCGGTCGGCGAACTTGTCGGCGTTCACGCGATCGCGCCGGGCCGGTGCGGTCAGCTGAGCGTCAAGGGCCTGCGCGGGTTCAATGCCGGACCGTGGATCGTAGCCCTTTGTGGCCACGAAGGCAGAGACACCGGTGCTTGCATTGACCGCAGTGTTGGCTTCGAACTCAGCCATAGGAAGAAGGAGCGCCCAATTGTCCTGTTCGTAATTGACATAGGCGCGCAGATACTGCTTGAGGAACGCGTTGGCATTCTCCGTCTGGCCATCGGTCTCTGGATGATACGCGGTCGACAGCTTGGGCTTAGTACCTAAGCGTTGGCAAAGGCGAGTCCAAAAGTGGGATGTGAACTGGGGGCCGCGATCGGACACGATGTGTTCGGGATAACCCTCTTCTCGCCATACGAATTCGACAAAGGCCTTGACCAAGGTGTCGACGCGCAAGTCCACAACTGGTATGAACTTCTTCTTCTTGCTAAGGCGGTCGACGATGACCAGGATGTTCTCGTATGTACGACCGTTGTCGGTGCTGGGCGGCAAGTGGGTGATGTAGTCCATCGAGATGGAGCTCCAATACCTGTCTGGGATGGGCAGTGGGTGAAGGAGGCCCTGCTTTCCCTCGCGGTGTGACTTGGTGCGACGGCAAACGAGGCATGCACGAGTGTACTGGGCGACGTCGTTCGTCATGCGTGGCCAGTAATACCACCTCGTGAGCTTGGCGTATGTCTCATGCTTGCCACCGTGTCCTCCTCCGCACAAGGATCGGTGTACCTGATCTAAGACCTTCGTGCGTAGCTGGCTTGCGTCGGGCACGTAGATCTTGCCTCGTACATACAGCAAGCCGTTGAGCAGGGAGCAATCGCCCAACTCTATGCGCAGCTTGCGATCCGGGCCAGCGAGGTTGGGTGGTAGTCGTCGCTGACCTTCCTGCTTGGCCTTGATGATGGCCTGCAAGAGCTCGTCTTCAGGGTATGCGGTGCGAATAGACGCGGTAAGGTCGCTTGTGTCGGCGTCGTTCGCGCTCGCGTCGGCGTCGTTCGCACGTGCTTCCCCCGGGTGAGCCTCTACATCGACAGGCGCGAGGTATAGGGCGTCGAGGGAGCAGGCTTCGGACATGGTCTCCATTTCCCCGTCGCAGTACATGCGGTGGGCTGCGTCTAACACCGACAGGCTGGCCTTGCGCAGGTGACAGAGAGCCAGGAACACAGCATGTCGCGTGTCAGGCCCCTGGTGGCTTGTGAGCGTCGCGACTTGCAGGGCAGGGTCCACTTGGTGTGGCTTGATGAGGACCTGCCACTGATGTTGTCGACGCTCATCGTCCGCATCTTCTGGCAAGTCACCAGGTCGCCTCGTCAAAGCATCGGGCTTGGTACCCTGTCGACCTGGGCGATAGGTGACCTTGAAATTGAACTCGGAAAGAAACTCCGACCATCGGGCTTGACGACGGTTCAAGCGTTTGTTGGTCATGAAGGTTTGCAACGCTTGGTGATCGGTAAGGACCTTCACTGGATCTATAGTCCCAGCGAGCTCAAACCGCCATTCCTCGAATGCGCGCACAATCGCGAGAAGTTCCTTGTCGTAGATCTCGTAATTGCACTCGGCTGGGTTCATCTTATGGGAAAGGAATGCGACAGGGCGTAGCACCCCGTCAGGACCCATCTGCGATAGCACCGCGGCGGTGACGAAGTCCGACGCGTCGGTCTCCAGCCAGGTCTCGCAGTCCGCATCGAAGTGCGCGAGCATACCGGCACTCCGGAAGGCGTCTTTGAGCTTCTGGAATGACTGGACGGCCTTGGAGTCGGGCGCCAACGGGAAAGACTTCTTGCCGTCGGTCTTGGTGAGCTCAGTGAGAGGCTTGGCCAGAGCGGAGAAACCCTTGATAAACCGACGATAGAAGTTCGCGAACCCGAGGAAGGCCTGCACATCCTTTACGGTCCTTGGGGTTTGCCATTCCATGACAGTAGACACCTTCTTTGGGTCCATCTCGAGACCGTCGGTGGTGAGGATGAGTCCCAAGTAGCGAACACGCTTTGTAGAGAACGAGCACTTCGCGGCATCAAGGTACATGCCCGCCTTGCTAATCTTGCCCAAGATGGTGAGCACATGGTCTTCGTGCTTACTCTCGTCGTCCGAATATATGAGGACGTCGTCGAGATAAGCCGTGCAAATCACATCAAGATGGTCGCGTAAAGTCTCGTTGATGAACGTCTGAAATGTCCCAGGAGCATTGCACAGTCCGAAGGGCATTACCAGGTACTCGTAAAGTCCGTACCTGGTGAGGAAGGCGGTTTTCTCTTCATGGCCTTCCTTTACACGGACTGAGTTGAATGCGGCGATGACATCGACGAGGGTCATCACCTGCACCTTGGCCATCCTTGCTAGAGTCTCTTTGATCGCGGGTGGTGCATTACGGTTCTTGCGGGTGACAGCGTTGAGGCCCCTATAGTCGACGCAAATACGGAGCCCACCCGAAGGTTTCTTGACTACTAGCACCGGGGATGCATAAGGTGACGTAGAGGGCCTGATGAAGCCCTTCCCGATCATCTCATCAATGTACGCCTTGACTGCCATCGTCTCCTCTCGCGTGAGTCCATAGATGTGGGGCTTAGGGATGCCTGCGCCCGGGTCTATGTCGATGGCGTGGTCTACGCCGGGTCTACGCGACGGCAAGACGTTTGCCAGTTGGGGCGAGAACAAGTCTGGGAACTTGTCTAGGATGTAAGCGGGGACAAGCTTGCGGATCTCGTCCTTGGTCATGGCCGGTCGCTCCATCTTGGACATGTAGTGCTCGAAGTCCGCTTGTGTGACTGAGGCCAAGCCCGCGACTTGCTCGCGGAAGGCGGGCAGGTCGCAATCGTCCGTGCAAGGGTCCTTCGGTTGCTTGACTTTGTCGAAGTGGTGTGGTTCCAGCCAGATAACGGAGTGAGGGTCGCCGGCGGCGGCGAGGCAGGCCGCCTCAGCACTGATCATAGAGATCTTGAGATCGCCAGCTGTGGTGTTGGCGGAAGCAGCTTTACGAGACGAGCTCTCCGGCGGACGGTCTTCGTACACGGTGTCCTGGAGCCCGTCCTTAAGACAGTTGACCTTGCAGTCCTTGTGGTCGAACGTCATTGAGCGAGACGTCCCGAAGCCTAGCACAGGCTGGTGATAGTCCAGCCAGTTCATCCCAAGGATGACGTCGAATCTACCTATGTTTGTGACATAACATAGGACAGTGGAGATATGATTGCCGTGCTTGACGGTGATGTCCGCGGCGTGGGTCAGGCGGGCAACCTCCTCTCCATCCGCTAGGGCTAACCGAATCGGCTTCGCCACAGGAAAGGTGGTGTACCGTTGTTGCTTGATCCAGTCTTGACTGACGAAGCAAGCACTGGCGCCGGTGTCGACGAGGGTGGAGTTTCGCTGCCAAGTTCCCTGCTGCTGTTTCAGGCCGCAGCGAAACTGCAGTTGATGGCTGACGTCAGCCCAGAGTCCATGGAGGGCGGCGGCGGAGATGTAGTGTGTCCTCTGAATCACTCCATCTAGGCAGGAAGCGGCGGCAAGCTCCCAGACTTCACTCTGTCGCACGCGACGTCGTGATGCCTCGGCTGAGTTACGCCAGTTCTGCTCCTGCTCGCGGTTTCGATCAGGAGCGTCTAAAAATCCGCCTCATCGTCGGTACCGCCGACGACGTCGTTGTACTCCTCAGCTGTGTCTTCGTCTTCGTCGTCGACGTCGAGGGCTGCCAGGAAGGGGATGTCGCCGGAGGGCGTGATGGGTTTGCCCCGACAGGGAGCGTCCTTGTCAAACTGAGTGTGGCCCTTCTTGCCGCACTTGTAGCAAGCATCGTGTTCTCGGAGCTTGCGCTTCTCGTCGACCGTTCGCGCATCCTGAACCTTGCGCTCAGTATGTCGGTTCGAGCGTTGTTTGCGTTCGGGGGAGCGGTCGCCTGGGGCCCGTCGGCGGGGCTTAGTCGTGGAGGATGCGGCGGTAGTGGCCTTGCCGATCTGTACGTCCTGCGACGCCTCGTCAACGCTCCGTGCGCGGCGGAGGAACTCAGCGAGGGTCTCGTTGTCATTGGGGACTGTCGCCATTGCGTTCCCGAGTCGAGTATTCATGAGGCCGCGCGCCTTCTTGACTAGAGTGCGTGTAGGGTAAGTGTGGAGTACGTTTGCTACTCCCAGGAACCGGGCCTGCCATGCGGCGAAGGTCTCGCCTGACTTCTGGCGCAGGCTGCCGTCCATGAGGGCAGTCTCGGCCTCCCCGAACTGGTCGTAGGTGAGGTAGGTGCCGTCGAGCGCGTCAAGATAGTCCATGAAGTTGGTGGCCTTCATCTTCTTGATGATGGGCCAGGCCTTGCCGGCAATGTACCGCTTCAGGTAAACTACGCGCAGGGCAGGGTCCGGGATGGTGGAACACTTGTCCACAGCCGTCTCACGCCATCGCTCGTAGTCCTGGTCCGAGTCGCCGCGGAACTCAGTGATGTCGGGCATCTTGTATGATGTAGGCGCCATCCCAGGAGGATAGACGCCACCTGGTGGGCCATCAGGCGGCGGCGGTGAAAAGGTGTGAGGGCCGGACGGAGCAGCGCCGTATGGGTTCGGAGCCTGCGGAGGGAAGTCGGCAGGCGCGGTGCGAGCCGGGCCCGTTCCTAAGTTCTGGAAGAAGCGGTCACGACTAACTCGGGCGTCTCGGGGATCGCGCAGGGGAGAGGTGCCTTGACGGGTGCGACGATCGTTGTCCCGACGGTAGTCTGGGCGCCCTTGACTAGGATCGGGGCGCGCTGGAGGAGGATCTGAGCGGTCCTGGTGAGAGTCCAGTCGCTCGTGTCGCTCGCGTTGGAGGAAGGAGTACGCCTTGTAGGTGGGCTCGTAAGAGAGGATCTTGGTGAGGCAGACCTTGTTCTCGCGTTGAGCTTCCTGCAGACTGAGAGCCATCTCGTCGAAGCGCTGCTGGAGGCGCTCGACCTCCTGGTCCTTAGCCTTGCGGAGCTCATCAAGTCCGTCTGCCGTGTCATCGTGGTCCTTGACTTCACGGTTATACTTGTGGTACCATGCGTCCGCATCGCCGTCAGCCTTCTCGAACTTCTTGTTCAGGGCGTCGAAGGCGGCGGCGTCGACCATGTTTTCCAAACGCTCTTTGAGCTCGTCCACCTCGAGGATGGCGGCGTTGCGTTCGGCGACCATAGCCTTGTATGTCGGGTGTCCTGCAAGTCTGCCTTCCTCGGAGGCCTGAAGCTGAGTCATGGCCTTCTCAAGCTTCTTGAATTCCTTGCACTTGGCCTGGTAAACGTCGCGGCTAACACCATCGACGGCCTGAGACTGATCGACAGTCTCGGACAGTTCCTCAATACGCTGGTTCTTGAGTTCGATGGTATGGGCGGCGTTGCGGAGTACCGTGAGGAGCCCTGTGACGTAGAAATGCCAGTCGCGGGGGCGGTCCGCGACCTGCTTGCCAAAGTTGTCTACGTTGGTGATTGTAGAGGTAGTGAATCCACGGTACGGAGTGTTGATGTTGCCGGTAGGGCGGTCTTGACCTACCCGGATCGTGAATGACTTTACATTGGTCTTGCCATCGTCGGCGCTGTCGTCGTGTTGCTGCAACTCGACCCAATCACGGGGCTTGTTGTCTTGGTTATAGAAGAGGATGCGCGCCTTGCACGAGTCATCCCACAAAGCTTCTATAGTGACGTCGCCGATTTCGATGTAGATGTACTTGTCATCGTCCAGGATTTGGGGTTCTTCGCGACCGCTGTCTGAACCTACTGGCTGGGGAAGTGGCGGGTAATACACCAGGAAAGAGCTCTCGCGTCGCCGGTTGCTGGAAGCTGCCGGTGTCGGAAAGAGTGAGCTCTCGCGTCGCCGATTGGATGTCGGCAGAGGCGGGGGCATCATGGATCCTTGGGTGTCACCTGCGATAGTCTGGGACTGGGATTGGCTGGCGTCTTCGCCAAAGCCGGCGTCTTGGCCGAAGCTTGAAGGGAAAGCGCCGGGGGCGTCGAAGCCCTGGTTTGCCATGTCGGTGATGTGGGATCTGAAGTGTTGTGGGTGTCGCGGAGACGTCTAATGTCAGTCGCACTGACGGCGTATACTACGTCCGCTTGCTCGATGATTGTTTGCTGCCTTCTTGTTTGTTTGCTAGCAGGATGAGCCAGTCCTCTACCGACCCTGCGATATGTTGTCGTTCGTGTGACTGAGCCTGACACTCCCACACGGTGTCCTCTGTCAACGAAACCGACTGTCGCGGCGGCGGGCTTCCAGCGGGCTCCAAGGTGGGCCTCTCTCGTCTTCGCAGCCCTGTCTTCAGTACGCCCTTGGCGGGACGACCTAACAGCTTCCGGGTTCCACTCCGCAGTCGCGTAACAGAGCCCCGCAAGTGTCGGTCCTGTCGCCCTTGCCTGACGTTGTTCCTGAAAGGGTATGTGTATCCGATTCGCCCGACAAGCGATGGCGATCGCCGCAGGCGGCGCGGGCGGCGCTTCTTCGGCTTGTGGGAATCGTGCGCGGTCTTGACGCGACCGGTCGCAATGCGATTTGACGGGTCAGAGTATGGAGTCTGGGTATGGGTGGGCTTTGAACGTAGTATAGTGTAACGGGTGGAAATATGGGTTGAGATTGTATTACTTGTGAGATACTACGTTATCGAAACAAGCTACTGTACAGGCGAGGTTTTGATGTTCCTCGCTTAATCGGAGCTAGGCCCGATTAGGTGGAGGTCGCGGGTTCGATCCATGACATATATACTTCTTTTAATATCTAAAGTATCTTAGTAAAGACTTTTTTTAATAGTTTTACAATACTAATAAAGAAGCTCTTCTTATCTATATTATAAATATTTTCTAGCTAAATCTTATAGTATTTTATTCTTAAATATAGTATCTTAAAGTAGAGCTTATACTTAAATAGAGAGTCTACTAGGTATTACTATTAGTTAATTTAAGCGCTCTATTTAAGTATAATTATATTACTATTATAGTAAAGAAACTATAAAACTTAGTACTAGAAAATTATATATTTTCTAATTAAACTTATAAAATTTTATACTATTTCTTATATTAGTAGTAACTCTCTTCTTATATATTTTTTAATATATATAATAAGTTTCTTCTCTTATTATAAGCTAAAAGAGTGTTAAGCGCGTATAGCTTTTATATTTAGGCGTATTTTTATCTAATACTACTATAATAATATTATTTAGTTATAACTCTACTATTTCGTAACTTTATAATAGCTAAAAGATACGCCTTTTTTATATAATTTAATATCTTTAATTATTTTCTAAATTAAGTCTATATTTATAGAGTTATAGCGCGTTAAAAGTTAGAATAGTTAGGGTATTTTAATGTTAAGGTGGCTTATTAGGTATCTTAGCTCACCTAGTGTCTGATTACTATATTGCAGGGCCCCGAGGAGGACCCCACACAGCCACCGCACTAACTCATAAGGAGTAGACCGTGACGAGGTCACACGCCCTCTATTCAACGTGCAGCTCTGCTATACGATAGCAAAATACTTAGAACGGTAGATAAGCTTCGAACCGAGCAAATACTGATGCTTCATAGTTTTGTCCTACAGTATCGAGATCTTCTTCCACGGCCGAGCCGGAGCCAGAGCTAGAGCTTCACCGGCCATATAGCCGTTCATGTAAGCTTCACCAACAACCGCGAACATGTCCTTTCTCGGTCGAAGTATGATCGGGAAATTGCAGCCAGAGATGATGAAGACCACATCACGGGACCGGGCCTCTACCGGGCCGATCCCAATATATCCCTGCTTCGTCACGAAAAGCCGCCGTTGTCGCATGATGTTTCTCATCGTCGGCGCTCTCATATCGTACTCTACGTTACCCCCACCAGTAAGTGTCGTCATTACGATCGAACTATGCCGTTCAGTGGCGAGGTGTGCTCCTTCCGCTGACACTATCTGTCGTGCCTCGGTAGACACAAACTTCGATTTGAGGATGAAGTCAAAGGCCTGTTTGATGAATTCACCGTCGCGCATGGCAGCGATATCTACGTCCCATACTTCAGCAATACTGTCCAACTGTATGCCTAGTACCGTCATCACATGTAAATCCTGGCTGAAAGAACAATATGGCTGCGAGTTGCCGGCTGCTCGATAGCCATGCCCTTGGAGAACAACCATATCAGTAGACCCCGAGTAGCACAGGGTCATCAAGAGATGGCGATTGACAAGTAGAACCGGCTTCTTTTCGTACGCCTCGCGGCGCCAGTCTGGCACCCATGACGGTAAGCCATCCTTACCATGAACGCCGCTGGCCGCCAGTAGGATGTCAAGTCGACCTTCTTTTGCTACGATGTGATGTGCAGTCTCTCGATACACCTGATTCACCGACTTGTGGTAGTCAGGCGCCACAGAGACACCTTCAACGTCGCCCACTAATCCCAACACGACGAATACTTTGTCCCTTGGATCCGTGGATGCGCGATCCCAAGTATTCCAAAGCAGCGACGACAGCGAACTTCCATTTACTCTTGCTTTCGAAAGATTTATCGCCAGTGTATAACGTCGTCGCAATGTATCCCACTGCGACTTTCTTTTCATGCCTTCCAGAGCATCTCCAATATCGTCCCATGCTTCGGAATAATCCATGGCCATTTGAAAGGTTTTCCATTTAATTATGGAAGTGCCACATTGAAGTATTGCATCCGAAGCACACCATATCTCCTGTACAATCCAGGTCCGCTCCCACCAAGGGCGAGCAAGTAGCTCATCGAGGGCCTCCCAATAGGCCTCCCATTCATTCTTGAAATACTCGTCGTAGGGATTGCCATCCATGTTATACAGTACGGGAATGCCTGTCACGGCGAAATCGTGCTTTGTAGCTTCCGCAGTTTCCACAGCCACCATGTACTCATCGAATTCGTCGTACCGGCGATCAATCAATTCTTGCAAGCGTGGGTCTGATTCTGGCAGGTCAGGTATTGGCGGGTCTGGTACTGGCGGGTCTGGTACTGGCGGGTCTGGTATTGGCGGGTCGGGTTTTGGCTCCTTAGCCTGATAAACTCGCCGCGTCAGCGATGCATATACTCGTACAAGGCGACTCTTCAGTCTCTCTCAATAGGTTGGGCTGTTAGCTGGTTCAGATACCTTTTCATCCAACCTGGACCAATCGCGCGTATACCATTTGCGATGTTTCCTAGCTGTAGCCAACATCTCCAAAAATTCCATGGCCTGTTCGCTCGACTCGGTAGCAGGTCCAATCCACACAACTACGCGCGTCGCATTCTTGTAAATCTTCCTCATGATAGCGACTTGACTATTGCGCTCAGCGAAGTCTTTCTGGTTGATGCAAATAGCGTCTATCCAAATCTTGCGCTCTTGTGATGCATGGCGAAGATGCTCGAGTGCGACATAGAGGGTAGCAGTGACAAATAACGAAGAGTCGTTAATAGTGATGGACCGGTCCGGACCGTCTGTCCCCCAAGCGTACGACAGGCACTCATAGTTGGGATGCGAGTTGATGTCGGCATGCTCGATACCGAGTTTGATTGCCGATCCCCGCTCTCCAGGAAGGATGGTAATGAGGCGGATATGATCGGGCGCAGCCAGGCTCTTGTATTGATAGAATGGGCAGTCCATGACTATACCACGGCGTTACCAGATGGAAAGATTCGCGACTTCCGCTATAGCGGAAGCTGTCTCGATACTGCCAAGCTCAGTTAAGAGACCGACAGATAGGCTTCAATTGAACGCACGACCAGAGAACCTGGCAGTTGTTGTATTCAACTGTGCTAAAAAAGCACTCTGTCAAGTCTGTCGCATTCCCGTTCAGAGTATCTTGTGCAACACGCACTCGATGCGAATGATGATGAGGCTGAGGGGCTGTTGGTGTTGCGGGCATCATGTTATCGTAGGCGCCATACCCAATTGAGTTAGGATGCGGGGAGATTTAGGGACAGCTGTCAAGGCCAAATTGCTCTCCACATTGAAACATCGAAACATCAAGGTAAGGGACCGAGGCTAAAAGCAGCTCCAGAACACCGAGCGCGTCAACGGCGATGTGTGGTGCCTTTCAACTGTCGCGAGGTTCTGCATGGCGCGTCGCAATATCGACTCTAACCGCAGACGCGATCATATCGCGCGCGGTCATAGTCGCGTTGCTGGATGACGACACTACGCACAAACCTCCTTGCGTACCTCCACTCCGCCGCCATCTTAGCCGTAGTTCTGCCTACGGAGAATTCGTGTCCACGAGCTCTGTCGCAGGTTAATCAGAATCGGCACGCGCTAACCTCTCGGCTTCATCAAATCGACGGAGAAACTGACGCCATGTGTGCCATTTTGAGGGTGCACAAGCACGCATGGACAAAATCTGGGGTATGATGAAGCTGGGCATTCTACATCAAAAGGGCGTGTCGCCTCTGGCTTCATCGCTTGCGTGTTATTGACAAGACCTCGATATCTGATCACGATGCTGTCAAATATGATGACGCGATTGGCTCTGCCATTAGCCATCCTCTCATTCTGTAGGGCTCTTTCATGTATCGGACACACGCACACGTGACTAACCAGATGCAGTCCTATCCCTCGTCAATGGTCTTCCCACCGATGCGCTCGTCGCACGCCAGTCGAAAAACCTTCGCATCCTGCCGCTAGGCGACTCCATTACCTGGGGTTACATCAACGGCGGCGGTTCAAATGGCTACCGTGAGCGGCTGCTGGCCGACCTCAAGTCTGGCGGCTACACCGTTGACTTCGTCGGCACGCAACAGTCCGGAACCATGGCGGACAAGGACAACCAAGGTTTCCCTGGCTATACCATCTCTCAGATCCGCGGCGTTGCTGCCGGCGGTCTTGCATTGAAGCCTAACGTTGTTCTGCTCCATGCCGGTACCAACGACCTGAACAGAGGAAACCCTTCCTCAGAGCCTGATGCTGATGCGCCGAGACGCCTTGGACTCTTGCTCGATGACGTTCTGAAGGCAGTCCCCAACGCCGTTGTTATCGTGGCCAAGATCATTCCATCGAAGCAATCGGGTCTTAACGCCAACATCAAGACTTTCAACAACGCGTTGCCTGCTATCGTCGCCTCCAGGGTCAGCAAGGGATCGAAGGTTTCCATTGTCGATATGAACGTCCTCAGCACGAGCAGCGAGTTGAGCGATAACCTGCACCCGTAAGTATTGACGCGTTCATCTGGAGACCGCTCAGCTGACTGATCTTATAGGAATGTCGCTGGATACGCGCGCATGGGTGACATCTGGAACGCGGGCATCAAGGCTGTTGCCGGTTCTATCCCTGCGCCTGCTTAGTCGTTCCCAACCCTGGACTTGCGGGGCTAGGATGCCAACGCATGGTAGTGTGGTAGAATAGGACACGAGAAATCAATTCATGCCTCATGCCATGACTCCGATCTTTCCGATAACGCCACTTCCATCCCCATGTTCGTGACTGTATCCCCACGAGGAGATGTCGATCCCCATGCCCCGGTACCATACGTCGTCCAAAGAAAGTGGTCAGGTTGGTGAAGTAATCTCAAGCCTTTAGCCAAATGCGGGATCAGCATATTAGCTCCGCAACTGCCGACATTGCTTCGATGCCACGAGGTCGTACGCATTAGGTGAAGTTGTGGTGACCTTAATATGTGCTTTTTGGTACGGATGGGGTCGGCAGTTGCATGTCGAATGCGGAAGCTGAAAGGGATGGCAAACCTTTGCGTGTGGGTCGCATTGGGCAGGTATGGAAGCTTCGGAGAACATCCCTTGGAGTACTTTATCTTCCAAGTTGTCTTCTCTGCATCGTTCTGTACTTCTTCATCATCTACGCATCCTTCTGTGAAGAGACATTGCGAATCGTCATGCTGTTCCCTACTCTCCTCCTCGCCGCCGTCGCGCAGGCTGCGCCTCAGTTCGGTGGCTCTCAGGGCTTCACGATGTTGCGTTTTGGATGCGCTCAAAATGTTATCGACCGCATTGATCCTCTTGTCAACCCAGGCCAAGCGCCGTCGCCGCATATGCATCAGGTAGTTGGGGGTAATGCGTTCAACGTCACGATGCAGTCGACGGATATCGCCAAGCTCGCGACGTGCACTACTTGCGGGTACTCGGAGGATGTAAGTCCAGGCATTGAACCCAAAACGACCAAGCTGACGGTTTGGGTGACAGCTTTCTAACTACTGGACCGCGAATGTCTACTTCAAGGCCCGCAATGGAACATACAAGCGCGTACCTCAAATCCCTAACAGGGATCTATTCAACGACAAGTACACTGGAAAGACCACCGGAGGCTTTGTCGTCTACTACGTCTCTGGCGGCAAGGGCCAAGTTACCGCCTTCAAGCCCGTAAGCCGTGTACCTGTCCATACAAATCTATGCCTGACACAGAACACAGGGCTTCCGCATGCTCACCGGCGATGCCACCAACCGCGTCTCAAAGGGGATGAAGACTCAAACCTGCTTCCGATGCTACAACGCGCCTAACTTCGGTGGCGATAACGCCGCGCCTTGCCAGGATGCCAAGTGAGCATGCACGTCTCATTGTACTCATGACCATGCTGACGCTCCAAGACTCGATACCGAAGGCTTCCCTACGACACCTTGCCCGGGTGGTATTCGTAGCAACGTTCTCTACCCAACGTAAGTGGCCCATCACTAGCAAGCTCGTGCGCCACTGACCCGTTGACAGATGCTGGGACGGAAAGAACCTAGACTCGCCGGACCACAAATCGCACGTCGCGTACCCCTCCAATGGCCCGGCTCTGTTTTCTGGTACTGGCACTGGTGGCAATTGCCCGTCCACTCATCCCGTGAAGATCCCACAGGTCATGCTCGAGGTAAGTCCCAATATATCCCCGGTCCAGTCCTCACGGCCAAGCTAACGGAAATTATAGATCGTCTGGGACACCAGCAAGTTCAACAACAAAGCCGAGTGGCCTGCGGACGGCTCGCAACCCTTCGTCCTCTCCACCGGTGACAACACTGGGTATGGACAGCATGGAGACTACGTCTTCGGCTGGAAGGACGACTCGCTCCAGAAGGCTATGGATGATGCCAAGGGCTGCATGGGTGCCAACTGCGGTAGCTTGAAGACGCAGCAGCCTGCTGATGGAAACAAGTGTCTTGTACCCAACCGTGTCAAGGAAGAACGCGATGGCTGGTTGGCGGCGCTTCCGGGCATGGAGGGTTTGCCGATGTTGTAGTCTAGCCTAGTCCACTGTTGCATGCTGAAAATCGTTGATTTGTTGTATTTGTCTGAGGACGCTGATGCGATGCGACGCTCGCAAGTAGACATACCCTTTCCTTACAAACATGCCGAGCTAAGGCCATCATTCAAAAGGTGAACATGGCTTCGGCCCGTTCTGACTGATCCGCTCTAAATGTGAAGTCACACCTGGAACAATAACTGTAACTTGACATGCCTTGGAAGACCATGCAGGCAACCGTGTACGCCGAGGGCCTTGATTCAGAGTCAACTTGCATCATCATCTGGATGACATTGTTGAGTTGCCGACCATCTTTATCTTCGAAGATGCTCCATGGCAGTGGTACGCCGCCTGTGCAAGACAGTACTACCTCTTGAAAAGTCGGGCCATATATTTCGTCGTAGTGGGCATCGTTCGCCAACGCTAGCAGAATCTCAATGAACACACAACCAAGGGAAAACACATCTGACTTGGTGTTTCTCCTCTCCCACTCAGCTACTTCTGGTGCACAGTACCTCTTGGTGATACCCTGTGGATTGCCAGTGGTTGTACTTTGGCCGATATCCCCGTAATCATACGAGAGACCGAAATCGGTATACATGACCTTTCCCTGGTGGATCAGTATATTTTGGGGCTTGATGTCTTTGTGTCGGATGGTCTGACCATGAATAAAGTCCAATGCCGACGATAAGCAGCCGAAAGCTCTTCGCAGGGTGAAATTCTGGTATACATTCTTCTTGTTCACCTCGCCCCGCAGGTGGAAGCCTTGGTCACGGTAGTTTTGTAGATAGCCGGCCAGATCTCCGCCATCTGCAACCGGTTCGAGTATCATAGTGAGCTCTCTTTTCTTGACATAAGCAGCGTGCACGTTGACGATATGATGATGGGAAGCCAGGCGTTGCATGATCCGGACTTCGTTCAGGAGCTCCCGTTTCGCCTTGTCGATATTACGAGCATAGACGTTTCTGATGATTTTCCGCGCAAACACCGAGCCCGTGGTGAGATCGAGGACTTGCTCCACGCTTGCGCTTCCGCCATGACCAAGCATACGCATGTGTTGATATGGTGGTTCATTGCTGCTTTGATCATCATGTTGTATGAGTCCAGTTGACATGTATAGGTCTGGCGTCCACGCGCTGGACAAATTCGCAGGTCTAACGTTTTCCTCATCTGCTAGCTGCGGTTGACTGAAAATGCCGGTATGCCTTTCGTGGTCGAGTTTAGTAAGGAGGCCGGGATTAATGCCATCGTTTTCTGGCGCCCCGATTACATGACTTGAGTCAACCGCTCTGATGGCAAGACTTGGGTCAAGCCGGTGCTCAGAGATTTGCGGGTGTTCGTAATCGCCCGAAAGTCCAGATACGTTAGGTAGATCATTGGCGTCTGAAGGTTGAGCGAGACTCCAAGAGTAACCCATCTTGGAAAGAACTTGACTGTC